TATGAATACAATCCTCAAATATTCAAATATTACCTGAATACATTAAGATATTCGAAAAGGAAAATTTGTGATTAGTTGCAGATCTAACAATTGTCGTCAGATAGCTATATTACTGTATAGTCCATCTGGATGCGTGCATCGTGCTCGCCTAATGAGACTGGTATCTCCCAAACACACGATTTGAAGATATTTACACCTGCACTCCCAAATATAAGCATTATTTTGGTATTCAAGGTGACCAAATTTGTATTAAAACTGCCAAAGTTCTCTTATGCGAAATCATTCAACCGTAATAGATAAAGCATGTATGTCAGGTCGATGAACAACCGAGTATTTACCTTTGCCGGCAATCACAGTTTTTCCTATGTTTTGTACCGCAAAAAAAAAAAATGTTTAGTTTACCTGTAATTCTAGTCTAATCGTGAACACTGCGTGACTCGGTGACCTTGTCTTTTCTCTTGATCGACGAAATTTTAAACGTAGATCACATCTAATGTAGGGTGTCCTTAGTCTAATACCTTTCTGTTAAATTTTAAGATGTAAAATAAAATGACAGACAAGTGTCCCATACTCTTGCAACTTGTATCCAGCGATTAAAACCAATCCCGTCAACTATTCTATTTTTGTTTATACATTCACTCAAATAGAGACGGGAAATGAGTGGGGGAGGAGGAAAATCAACAGCAAAATATATGCATATATTAAAAATGCAAGATAAGCTATTCTCTCTCTCTCTCTCTCTCTCTCTCTCTCTCTCTCTCTCTCTCTCTCTCTCTCTCTCTCTCTCTCGTAAAAAAATATGCAAATCTCCTAACATCTAATCATCTACCACTCCAATTTTTATCAAACCAAATTCAATAAATACCAAATTCTTATTTTATAAGTGGCAATCATCATAGAATGGTGCTCTATATAACAAGCTTCATGTAGTCAAACCTCATTGTGTAAATCGCCTCCTTCAACAGATACATCCAAAGAGGATTGGTCAGACTTACATAATCCACTCCTACATATTAAAACGTGAAGGCATTGCACGTTTCATGTACTGAGCCCATTGCTGTGAAGCACGTTATAATATATACTCTTTCGATCTCCATCCTACACGCGATCGTTAGTACAAATTTCATCATTTATTTTCCTGAAGTTAATTAACATTTATCCTGAAAAATAGCTTGAAAACAAACAATTTCCTTTGAGTATTTTTAACATGTGTACTCTCCCTCTGTATTGTCTGATATGATCAGACTTCATACACAGCATTTAACTCCCCGTTGATGGGGAACCTTATCCCCGCAATCTCATTGTTCTTTTTTTTAAAAATACTTTTAATGAATGGTAATTAACCTTTCTGTACAAAGATTTTTCTTGGATCTTTATAGTTTTATAGCCCAGGTGAGCCGTGAAAACCCATTCAAAGAAACAGCTGTGCCTTACATCTCATATATCTTGCAACAAAACAACACATCTCTACACTTTTTTTTTTCATTCTATCCAAGTATCCAAATGAATTCTCGTCTATCCCACCATCCCAATCACCTTCCAATGTCCCCGTGGGAATGGACACAGCTTTTCTAAAACAAAATAATATCGACGAAATGGGCGGGATACATACTTCGTGAAATACCGAAAATTGTTGAATACGAGACGTTGATTAAGCCACAGGAGTCTGCAGTTTTATCAATAAAGCACAACGAAATTTCTGACAACATGAAATCACCTTTGACGGCATTATAAATTATCATTGTTAATAAATAATACCGTTAAGGTGATTTCACGTCAGAAATTTCGTCGTGCATTATTAATAAAACTGCAGTCCACTGAGATTAGGCGGGCCTCTTAACCGACCACTGAGTTAAATCGTTGGTCCCTTAACGCTCGGTTTTGATCGACGGCCGTTTTACTAATCTGGTCAAAAAAGTAACGAAATCCTAAATGCGTCCACGTACTTGTAAAAATGACATGATAAAGGAAAATCACATCCTACCTTGAGTATACAGTCGCGTTCTCGTTATTGCAATGTTCCAAGTAGCAGTTCCGGAACCTTATTAAACATATGGTTGCTAGTAATAACAGTTCATTATTTCATCATAGTCACCTCAATCTCTAAAAAATTCCGACTGCCTGTGTTATAAAGCACATACACTCAATGTGGGGGATGAAGGCATGCGGTATCCGCACTATACCGGCATACTAACACAGTGCATGCCATATAGCACATATCCTTTACTGATGCCTTTCATCCTATAATTTGCTCAGTACGGGAATTTCCGGAACACTTCAAGGTTGTTTGAAGGTTGCGTGTCTTGACCTTAACGTAAGGCATATGGTAGGGGGACTTTGTCGTGTATTTTAAGAATGGGAGTAACTAGGATTACGACAGATGAGCTGTTAACTGTCATACATATGTAATATCATACATTACTTAAATTGGTGGAACCTTGTTAAGTGTGTTTTTGTGTTTTTAGGCTGGCCAGAACTAAATTCTATTTTTAGTATAAATTGATTTTAAACAGACCGTAGTGCGGTTAAAGTGCATGTACTGTAATAGGGGGCGATAAAAGGGGTTTTGGTAGACAAAATAGAAAAATCATAACTTTTTTTGTTACTGGTTAGTCGTACATGTTTTCGTGTGTGTGTTTCAGATCTTTAACGTTGGTTTAGCAGCTTTAGTCACATCGCTAAGATGTTTGCTGTGTGGCAGCTTATAGTGATCTCTAGCAGTGTGGGCATCATGCCTCAATCATATAACATCATGTCCCACCTAGTCACATTATCCAGACACCAGACCGACTAGTCCATTTTCTTCTTTATATATATATATATATATATATATATATATATATATATATATATATATATATATATATATATATATATATATATATAAAGTCTTTCGTATAACTCGACCGGGGTCCGAACCTGCGACGTCCTGCATCAGAGACCTACGCTCTAACCACTGAGGCCACACGAGCGGTCTATTTGTTTTCGTCATTGATATCCGATTATGATGATCATAATTAAATCATTTAAGTGAAACTTTATAAAAGAACCCCACATATCATTTTTTTTTAAAAAAAAAAAAACATGCAAGTTCTAGATAATTTTCCTTTTACACATAGGTTAGATACTTAAAGGAATGGGGTTCTTAAATATTGTTCTCAATAAGCAGGTATTCATTACATTGATGTATCCGTTAAGACAGGTTTCATCCTTATTATTATTATTATTATTATTATTATTATTATTATTATTATTATTATTATTATTATTTGCTTTATTTGAAAGAGTATGTATAACAAAAGCATAACATATACAAAAAAACCCCGAATAAATGATTATTGATGAACTACCAACATAATAGTACTGAGTATTGTGTTAAACAATATTTTTGTACAAGTACACGTAAGTGTCGTAATATAGATGTAAAGATACAGATTTAACCTTGAATTAATATGTAAAGAGTTACTTTTTGGACCTGCCAAAAAGGAAGGGGGGTGAGCTGGACGTTACTTTGGAATCGGGATATACTTTTTAACCCCAGAATGTTTTGATTCGTTGTTATATATTTTTTTATTATTTTTATAACTGATATATTAGGTTAATTAGTTGATATTATTACGGCCACAATTAAAAGAAAGAATTTTGCTGAAGCTATTTGTGGCTTTTTTAAATAATAAAAAAACAAACAAAACAAAAACAAAAACAACCCCTGAAATCATTGGTTGCTCAGTGATGGATCGGGACAAATAATGTGAAATAGACCGTTTCGTGTCATTAACCAGGGACTAAATATGCTTCATACATTAACAAAATAGTTTCTCACGCAAAACAAATGTCACGAACAAGTAATCTTTTGTCGTTAAAATTTACTTCGCGAAGATTTCGTTACTTAATAACTATCAAATTTTTAAAAAATGGCACGTGTACCATGATCGAACATATCTCCGCTGGCTCATTTTGATAGAGATGTTTCTTATTTTTTTATTTAAACAGGTTGTGTCATTCCAAGTGTTGATCTTGATTTTGTACAAATGAAAAATAAATCCCCTTCTCCCCACAACTTTTTTGTTAAATAAGAGAACATTTTACATAAAAGGATCGTCACATACTGACATTTTGTACAGAAAAGATCATTACATTAAGTGCAAAGCTGATCGATACATACGAAAATTACCTACCTAAAGATTAATTGCGATATATTAGTTACCTTACTGCATGCATGTGCTATATATGACCTGATCTGGTTGTATCTGGTTGAATACATCATAGGGCGTGTCTTTAAAAATCAATTTTCTCAAACGCGCCCTGCAAAAAGTTCCAAATGCATGCTTTCAAGGGATTATAATGCATAAATTTTCAAAACTTTTACTTTGCTTTCCTTTTCTGTTTCATTCCAAATGTCGATAGATGTTGAAATTAAGCGTATGTTCAATCTAACAAAGCTGAAATTCTGATTTGAAGGCTGCTAAAGTTCGACGCACGTAGACTTTCCTCTTCTAAAAATAGAGCTTGACGACGCTAGTATGATTACGTGATAAATATAAAAAAAAAGTTAATGTAAAGCGTAAACGGCGTGAAAGTCGATTGTTAGTGCTTTCACTTTAATTTATATGGTAATAAAAGACTTTAGAACAGTGGATAAAATAGTCTCTCTCTCTCTCTCACACACACACACATACACACACGCGCGCGCACGCGCGATAAGCCCTATATTTATATCGTACGCACATACATATTCACCCCAAATTCACCCATACTGCAAGTGTAATTTTCTTATATGTGGTCTTGATTTTCAACGTCGCTTTGACAGTTTTTCAGTCATATCGCCAATGTCTCTACAGTGTGACAGTTTTGTAATTATGTCTAGCACTCGGGGGTCATGCCTCAGACGTGTAGCACATAATATTCCATCCTGTCACATTATCATGACACACCAGGCCGACTAATCAAAACATTAACCGCTCCATGCTGAGCGTCTAGCTGAGCAGCTGTTATTACCATTTTATAAGTCGGCGGTTCGAACCCGCAACCTCCCGCATACAAGGCGAAAGCTCTAACCACTAGGCCACCAGAACAGTTTGTAATGTTCTTAGTGAAGTTATACTATTAACATCATGAATAATTAAGACAGATTGATTGATACACAGACATTGATGGACAGAGTAAATCCCATGTACTGCCAACTTAATGGCATATTATAAACGGAAATAATTTTAACTCTTCCTAACTCTTGATACCTTTTCCCGACATAAGGAGAATTATCAAGGTATAAACAAAACATACTTTAAACAAACCAAGTATAGTTCACTATGTTTAGATTGAAAGAACAGTTTTAAAATAGTAAGCAGCAAGTTAAACCTGGTTCAGAAGTTGCTTTTCCCAGTTGCATTAAAATCAAGGACTGCTGGTTTAAGGGGTGTTGGGGTGTTAATTGAATATTTTAACATCAAAACTATACATTTTCAGGATTCAGAGAGCTTTTAAAACACCTAGCTCTAATTTGTAGAAAAAGAATATATTTAGTCCAGTTATGTTAGTTGAAAAGAATTACTTTTTTCAGGTAATATAAAAAAAAGTTTTTGATTTAAAAATAAATCCAAGACCCAAAGGCTATACAAAAATAACATTAACTAAACATTTCACACTGAACATTTCTTGAAAATTTGACAACATAAAATGAAGTGGTTCTGAAGAAGTGTGAAAATTATGTTTCTCACCTGGTGGTCATGGGGACAAAGATACATACTTTTGTTTGTAGAATATAGTATTAGGATATCAATTTTGGGAAGAAAATAATAACATCGAAGTTGCGCTAAACTACGTTAAAACTACTAGGTATTGGCAGCAATTTCCGCTAAGATGTATCGGATTAACCTGTCACCTTCTTGTATATTCTCTTTTAAAAATCGCTCCCTTTACAAACAGTCACAAATTTAATCAAACAGTGTCGTAAACAGCTTCGGTTTAATAGTTCAGGACACGAATGAAACAATAATTAGCGATTTACCAGAAATAGCCTTCTTTACAACAATTACGAATCTAATTCCCCTGGAATGTAAACAATATATGACTTAAAAGGTCCTTCGTTCAGGAGACTAGCCTTTATTAGGATAGACCTCTCTGATTTGGAACAAAGGACGCAGGTTGAGCAAGCATGGTATTGGCGTTCTACACAAGTGCCCAAATCTCCGGGTATCTTGAGATGGTATAAATAACGCCGAACCTAAGTGCGTCTTTAGTTCATCGGTTCCAGATCAGAGAGAGAGAGAGAGAGAGAGAGAGAGAGAGAGAGAGAGAGAGAGAGAGAGAGAGAGAGAGAGAGAGAGAGAGAGAGAGAGAGAGAGAGAGAGAGAGAGAGAGAGAGAGAGAGAGAGAGAGAGTAAAAATCGTTCTGTTCAATTAAATATCCTAAAAAGTTAAAGATTTCTGTGGTAACTTTGTAGTTGCAATATTCTTGTAAGTTCTCTTTTTATTTTATTATTATAATCTAATGGAATATTTTATTGCTTTTAAGATTTGAAGTTCATTAGAATAAAAAAAATATTCTTTAGATGATAAAGTATAATGTTCAGTGATCTTTGCCAGGTCGGTATTCTAAATTAAATGGAATAAAATATACTTTTTAAAATGATTATGGCATCTATCGCAATTGTTAAATTTTATGCTCTTTGAATTCAAGCAATATCTAATCACTTTTATTGTATTCGAAAATGCAGAAAAACTACAAGCGTATGAAGTTGGTAGATCGTAGGAAAATTATTCAATATGTATTGTAATATATATTGTATGTATTTTTCAATATAAAGGTTTTATAATTTCTATCTCTTAAATGTAGTTTTATATATCAATAGTCTGTCGGTTCCAGATCAGAGAGAGAGAGAGAGAGAGAGAGAGAGAGAGAGAGAGAGAGAGAGAGAGAGAGAGAGAGAGAGAGAGAGAGTCTGTATATTTTACAGCGATTCCTGCTACCTTTTGTTTGCCAGAGCTTCCTCAAAAGATGTAGCCGTATCTACACCATTATGCGTGACACCTTATCATTGAGAGAGTCCGAACTCCCCTTTTCTCTCTATCTTCCCTTCTGGCCATGGAATAGAACATTGCTAAGTGTTTACGAAAACAGATTCGTCAAGGTTGATGAAGAATCTTTTTCGTAAAAATAGCATAATGAATATTTCATTCAGTACTTTATAGAAATGTTACTACTGTTTTAGGGAAGACGTGGATGCATGTATCTTTCACCTGGTTGGTATGGAGATTTAATGGTTGTTATTGAAGCTTACAAAACTGAACATCCATAAATTTAGTCTTCGAATGATTAACCCAATATTTTTAGATGTCAACGTGTGTTTTGATCTGATTGTTATGAGAACTAACATGCTATCACTTCCTACTTTCCTGCAGGATAGATAATAAATGAATAATGTATGGTACTATATGTATCATGTCTAAAAAGCTGCAGTCACTTCTCATATTCTGAACCTATTTCACAAACATATTCGTAAGAGTTCTTTGGTACAACATAAGCGCGCGCGAGTGTGTGTGTGTGTTTGTGTGTGATTTAGATTCTTAACGTAGTTTTAATTTTTTTAGTCATATCGCTACGATGTCTGCAGTGTGGTAGTTTATAATGATGCATGTCTAGCACTAAGGAATCATGCTGCTTCATGTCCCACCCAGTCACATTATCGTTACACTAGGCCGACCAGTCCTAAAACTAACCTCTTAATACCGAGAGCCTACCGAGGCAACTGTTAAATACCATTTTTATAAGTCTCTGGTATAACTTGTCCGGGGTTTGAACCTGCGAACTCCCGCAATCTATGCGGCCACCTCTAACCACTAGGCCACAATAGCGGTTCACCAACAATTACATGATATGAAATGAATGGAAAGTTGTTTTTTTTTTTTTTTTTTTTTTTAAAATCTTCAGAACAAGCAGCACGTCTACACGATCTTCCTGTTTATGTACTGATAATTATGTTGTACTGCTGCACGAACAGAAAATTGATGAAAATTCCATGACAGAGGTGGTTAAGTTGCACATAATCACAACATGCACTATTTCACATTAGTGTCACATGGGTTGATGGCAAAAGCATATAGACAAACCCTCTCGAAGTCTACAACTTTTGATTCTAAGATGGCACTAAAACAATGAGATGTGACACGACCTCGAGGATTTAAGTAACAAGAGTACCAAACATACAGTATATGCCCATCATGAACCGTTTTCCCTACTAAATGCCATGATCTTTATAAATACTTACCTGCCAGCTGCATCACTAAGTGTGAAACTGGATAACATCTCATCAAATTATTTGAAGTAGTTAAACAGTGACAGCCTAGAAAAGGAAGCAGGTCACTGACTTGTGTTTGACCTTCACCTTTGGGGCAGAGGATGTGAAGATGAATACATTAGACACTAATAAATTTAGATACACAACAGTCTAAAATTGCATGGAAAAAATTCTATTGCTTCAGATATTATCCATGTGCATGGACAAAAGTTGCTAATATATATTTTCCCTAACAGTGACCTTAAGTTTGATAACGAAGATGAAAAAACATCCTCCATAAAATGTAAAAAATAAAGAAATCAGATAGTTATAATTTTCCATCGTTTTGTTGTGAACTTATCCTATTAGCAGGGGACCTGTATGTCACAAGGTCTAATTGTGATGTATACATGAGCAGAGTTTCATGAAATCTTTCCAGCTATCACGAAGCTGGAATGACAGAAGGATGGAATGATATCATGTAATTTGTAAAATAATACATTAATAGTTAAAATGCCACAATTTTTCCATTGGTTTTATATTGACATTTATATACGACAGCATGTTATGCAACACTGTATCATATACATACATTCTTCATAATATCTTAAGCAGCTTCTAAGCTACACAGCCTGGATTTTAAAAAATAGTGAACATGTTAATATTTAAGTGGCATATTAAGTACCGTCAGATTATCATAGATATAAATATATTTAGTTTACGGACTTTTAGATTTGAAGAAGTATATGCATATTGGCAATATATGTAAATAGGTTTGTGAGTCAGTGTACGTTGCCTCCTAGGGTATTATTGCAAATCTCGTAGGTAGGCGTACAATTTAACATTTTTATAGCACCGAGTCCCCAGTCAGCAATACCGACGGTCTTGGTGGATAATACACAAAAAAAAATGTGAGGAAAAATAATTAAATGACAGATCTAAATATTCACACAATGCAAGTAAATCTCCTTAATTTCTCCATTAGGTCAACCTATCTAATTAATCTGCCATTTCCATCATCTGATGTGCAACGTGAGACTGTTTCCACCTGTCCCTGCTATTTTACTCATCTGTATTATTTCCTTTTCCTTGAATGGTACTTCAGTACGCCTTCCGTCCCTCAACTACCGTCGTTCGCCCTTCCACTTACTCCACTTCCGTTCTCTGGCCTGCTTTCAAACGTCTGCCTCCGTTATTTTATCCGGTCCCGTGACTATAACAACTCCCTACTTTGTAACATTCTCTTTAAGAAGCTATTCAAGTCTGAATTCCCGTTCTCCGTTTTACGAATGGCGTGCATTCGGAGTACGCCTAAATTAATAGACATCTTTCTTGGTAAAAATCATGGCGAGTACTAAAAATGATTGTAAAATGACCTGTAAAATATGGTCTGCTTCGGCAAGGTGCCCCGCACATATTTCCCAAACCGAGCCATGATCTGATACGGAGGGTCACTTTGAACTGTAGTCTGCCAAGTTTCTCACGCGCATGTCAATCTCTTTCTCCCGCGCATAGGCCAAGGCTCGGGTGGGAAGAAACATTCTTTTTCGGTTTTACTAGTTACTTTAGTCCTTTTGAAGATAGCCGCCCCTTTGTTCTCTGCAGGGTCGAATCAAGTCGGAATCATGCGCAAGAAATGTCAGTCGCCAACGTCGAGGCGGCATTCTCCACCCCAGGTAAGTTGTGTACGTGAGGGTTGTCTTCACAATTTGACACTAAAATTATGGAAGTGATGTGATGTGATTATTTTTAACGTAGCTTTAACAATTTTTCAGTCATATGGCTACGATGTCTGCAGT